GTTGTGGAGAAAGATATAATCAAATTGCTGCGCTGGCTGGAGTGTGTTATCTAATAGAGAGCATTTGTAGGGGATGCCTCGTATTACTTGGGTTGTATGGAACCTTTGTAGTGGCTCAGCTGGGCCCGTCTATTCATTTCTGTCTCTGTCTTTCCTAGATCCTAAAAGAGATATATGATGCAGATCAGGTGCTGCTGGGCAGGCCTGCTTTTGTTCCTTCCTCTGACCACCCAGAACTGAGACCTTCAGAATCTCAAGAAAATAAGGTCACAAGCAAGAAGAAGAAGCGAGCTCTAGCCAGCAATACCAGCTTCTTCTCTGGCTGTTCTCCTATACAGGAAGAGTCCCACTGAGGTTATGGTCATGGTCTCTCTCTTCTGTCTGTCCTGGACACATTCTCAGGGTGCAGCTCAGAGGGGAAGGGTGCTAAAGACTTCTGTAGCTTTTAGGTTTTGCTTTTGAGAAAAGGAAAAAAAAGTGTCACTGAAAGGAAGAGGACCTTTGCTGAATGTTGACCTTTTCTGTCTACTCCAAACAACTACTTTTCTTCTCCAGAAGGTGCTGAGCCATCTGTTGGAAAGAACTAACTGACCTTCCTGATGACTGACTCATAGGACGCCCATCCCCAGCTAGCTCTTTCTTTGCAAGCAATTGAGTTGTCTTCTCATGCAGCAGAGGCCAAGATGTTCCTCTCATGGTCATGTCAGCTTAATGGAGGAGCCTCGTGCAGGATGGAGACCTGACTCAACTCCGTCACCACAACTCAGGAGTGGGGCTGCTCCATTCCAACTCTGGATTTTAACAGGAACTTCAACTGTCTGTCATGTTGCTAAAGTGAATGAAACATTTTTAAATGTTAAGAAAATAAATAAACCTTAGCTCTTAAAGGAGATCCTTTTTTGTTAGAGGAAGAAATAAAATTCCAACACTTTTTCCTCAGCCCCCTGGGAAAACTGTTAAGGGGATCTATTACAATTTCCCCACAAGTCCGGATATTTCCTTCTTCTAGGAAGTCTGCCTAGTGTTTTGTTTGTTCGGTGTTCTGTTTTGTTTACAGGGATAGGAATTGACACGGGGCTTTGGACATGTCAGACAAACATTCTGTCACAGAGCTACACCCTGCCCCAACTTCCTACCCTTTCCTAGAGCCTGGCACAGAGCATGGCACTGCCTTTCTCTGCTGTGCTGCTCTAGGATGTAGGAATGGCATGGCCATTGCCACATTCCTGCCATAATTGTATTTGCTTCTCACCAAAACATGCTCAAGGTTGATAGGAGCCTGTACTTTACATAGAAGAAAATAGAGTGTCGGCTTCCCCATACTATAGCAAATGCCTGGGATAATGAGTTCATGGGAAAAAATGGGTTTATTTTAGCTCACAGATTTGGAGGTTCTAGACCATGGTTTGTAGCCCATATCAGATCATGACAGAGGCATGTGATGGTGCAGAGCTGCTTACTTCATGGCCAGGATAGAAAAACCAGTGGAAGGATCTGGATCCCATCATCCCTTCAAGAGAATACCCTAAAGTGTACTAAAAACATTCCACAAGAAGCTATCTCTTAAAAGTGTCACAGCCTCCCAAATGGCACCACAGGCCAAAGAACAAATCTTGAACTCATGGGCCTTTCGGAGAATGCTGAACATCTAGCACACTGATAGTACCGAGGTACAGGGAAGTAGTTATGGAGAGTTACAATGTTCGTAAATAAGAGAGCTCAATATACACTTAACTATATGACCCTTATGCCCTGCAGTCTGCTCAATGGGTGTAGCACCACGCTGCTTTTCAGTTACAGAACAAAACTACAAACTGGCTCCTTGTTTCCCCTTGAAAAGAGAGAGGAGAAACAAGACTTTTTACCATCATCTCCAATATGCAGGACCACATACAGACCAGATTTGAAGCCTTTGGAGAGTTTGGCAGCCTTGAGACTCATAGCAATGCATATTGAATTCTGGTCTGTTCCCCCACCCCCTCTGCTTCTAAAGAGCTCACAAACTGTCCCCACATGTAAGAAAGACAAAATTCTAGAATCCAACACAACCAAAGCAAAGAAACGAAATTGAAAAACAACCTGCCAAGAATGACTCCCGGTGGAGGACTAGGTGACCTGCTGGCCCTCCCTGGCTTCCTGCCAGCAAGCAGCCTTGTTTCTCTTTGCATTTTAATTCTGAGAGAATTAGGGAATCTCTGTCATTGCCAACTAGAGCCTCTGGATACAATGGGAAAGCTGAGAGGGAGGGGACCAGCTCCTGGCAGAAGAGAGCCAATCTCCCTCACTCGTTGAAATTGAGTGTGTAGAGGGGGAGGGGAAGCCAGTTTATTTGTAACAACACCCCAACAGTGCTAATGCACAGACCCCAAGTCACTGCATCAGCCACAATGCAAGAGCTGTCTCAGCCCTTCCAAGCTCACAGGCAACTCTGCTTTATACTCAATTTACCACAACTTGCTAGTCCACCTCCTGTTGATGCTGGAGTGATTCTTTTGTGCATGTTCATCTTCCAAAAGCATGGTACCCCAATACACTCCACACTCCCGAAGCGATTCTTGAAATGATTCAATGTTCAGGCAATCAAGGCAGTAAGCCCGATATCCTGAATGAGGTTCTCATGTTCCGCAGAGGGGGCCACAGGGACCCCTAGTCCAGGAATCGGGCAACTGGCTGCCCAGAGTTGAGAAAGTCACTTCAAAAGCGTCTCATAGGCGGACCTTGCAGAAATGCAAATAGCCCAAGAGGAAAGGGAAGCTAATGATTGGAAGTTGTACTTCCAGGAAGCTTGAGGTGAGACTTTCTCATCTGTTCTAGAGTTTCCAGGGGACTGGCGGGGCCCCTTCTCCTCACTGCTGCCAAGTTGCAAAATTGTGTGGTCACCTCCCCCATCTTCCCTCCCGCCTATGCCCTCAGCCCTTGCCTCCCAGAACCAGGACAAAGCCCTCTGGCAGTGACTGGGAGGGGACCAGGAGGAGGGACAGAGGGATGGGGAAGGCTGCACAAAGGAATTCCTCATACCAAGCCCCCTGACCGCCAGCTCCTGCGAGTAAAGAAGCCGACCTTCCTTCCCAGCTCTCTGGCGCCCGCACGCCTTCCCACCGTGGCTGGGCTCAGGCCGTAGAGCCTCTGCGAACATTCCAAGAGGACCCAAACTTCTTCCTGTAGGTGGCAACAGTGACACCTGTTTGATCAGTGAGGCTGAGCCAGGGACTGCAAAAGGGAGGAGGCAGACACCTTGGAGAGGAGCTGGGAAGCAGAGCTGCGCACTCCCTGAGTAAAAGGTGTGAGGGCTGGGGAAGGCTGGGGGCGACCGGTGGGGGCTGGGGAGTGGGGACCTGCTCAACCCCGCAGGGATGGAGTCCAGGGGTTCAGGCAACACCCCTATGAAATTCTCTGCTCTGGGTCTTTCAGACTGGCCAGATCCTGATTCTTCTTCCAGGCAGCTCTGGAGGGAGGGAGGACTCTAGAAGTCTGGGGTGCAGGGGAACACCCTAGAGGAGACAAGGGATGTGTGATAGTGCTCAGAACAGGCTAGTGTAGCCCATTTCGGGGATGGGAAGAAGCAGGGGCTTCCCTTTGGGTTGACTACAGTCTGGGAAGAGACCCACAAGGTAAAGGTTTCTTCCTTTCCCCAGACCCCACTCCGCCACTCCCTAGACAGAACCCTCCTTTCCCAGGGGGAACTTGGAATAAGGGGGGTAGTTTCAAGAACAGACAACACACACCTTTCCTCCTTGTTGGAGCCCTCCCACTGTGGACCCCTATAAGACTCACGATGAACAAGGGGCCCTGTCCTTTTGTACAGGACAGTTAGATGAGAGAGAGAGAGGCTGAGGGAGGGAGGGAAGGAGGGAGGGAGGGAGGGAGGGAGATATTACCCAGGGATTCCTTTACATTTTCAGTCAGAGTGAAACCCATTTACTGGCAGCCACCAGTCCACTAGTGCACATACACGTACATATGTTGACATATCACACACAAGCACACCCTGCTTACATTGGTGCTTCGGTAGTAGAATTCTCACCTACTACAAACCGTCCAGCCTCTCATATAGAATCACAGTCATAGGCCCAGCCCAGTTTGTGGATCAGCTTGGTCTCAGCCGTATTCAGAACTACAAGGTACAGGCCTTCCTTGCTCCAAGACAACTCCCCTGCCGCCACCACCACCACCCCTATACACACGTACACGCAAATGCAGGCACTCACACATGCACCTTTGCCCTGTGTGTGTGTTGTACTTTCATTAAGGATAACTCAGAGGGTGGGGCCCCTGGGAGGGGGAAGGTGAGAGCTGGATTTCTCTTTGGGGTGGAGGGTGACTGCACATGATGCCTGGGCAGGAAAGGATGAGGCTAGAGTGGGGGGGGGCTTGGATTTTCTGGACTGCGCAGGCAGAAAAGGGGCTCCTTTAGAGGCCTAGGAGAAAAGGATCCAGGCAACCAGCTCCTCTCCAGTCTTCTTAGCAGTGCCCCCAACCCTGGGAAGTGGACACGGAATCTTTCAGTCCAGGCTTTGTGGTTTGTACAATCTCTGTATCCATAGCAACTAGTCAGCTTGCTCTGCCTCCCTTAGCCCAGGGTCGGAATGGGAACCTCTGCTTCAGGTTACTTCTGCTTCCTGGGGTGGAAGGCAGCAATGGGCTGGCTGCTTCAACCTCAGTCAGGTCTGCCTTAACTTGCTGAACTGAATTTGCCCCACCCTGGGGCAATTCTCCTAAGTTACTATGGGCAAGGACTCCAACCCCAGACCTGGATGTCATTAAATAGAAAGGAGTACACATTATGCCTGCAAAAAGGCTGGACCACTGACTTCCCAAATATCAAAAATCAGCGGAAATGGAAGACTCCTAACAGTCCCTCTTTTCCAGGCTTGTGCCAGTCACCTCATCGAATCCAGAGTTCTGGGTCTTCCTTGTGACAGCAAACCCAGGAGGGAGGGGAGGCTGAGATCTGTCCTCTGTCAGAATTTCCTGAAGGTCATGTCCCTTCCCCCAGGCCTTCACCATGGCCGAGTCTCCTGGCTGCTGTTCCATCTGGGCCCACGGCCTCCACTGCCTATATAGCTGTCACTGGAGGAAATGGCCTAGACAGAGGATGAAGACCAGCAAGGTGGAGTGGGGTTGGGGGGGCAGGCCTTGAGTTAGAGAAAGGGCTGCTTGGAAGGAATATGGAGACATTGTACTCATAGGCAGTTGGGAGGAAGGAGTTTTCTCTCCCCAGGAAGAAAATCTCCCTCAAATACAGGAAGAGCGGCTCAGTGTAGGACAGAGCTGCTGTCCTGGGGGCCTCTGAGCATGAACAGGGGATCAGCTGAGAGCTTCTCTCCTGCCCCTCCACAGTGCGACTGCATCTGGTTTGGCCTGCTCTTCCTCACCTTCCTCCTGTCCCTGGGCTGGTTCTACATCGGGCTCATCCTTCTCAATGATCTGCACAACTTCAATGAGTGTGTCCCGTTCCATCTACCCCTTCCTCTGCATATCAGCCTTCCTAACCCATGCTCAGCTACCCCGCCCCCGCTATCAGTCATCCCCAGCTCTACATGGCCCCAGAATCCCGCATTCCCAACCGCTTTAGAAAAGATCCCCCCCACACCCCTGCCATCCCATCCCTGGAGACCTTGGCCCTATGAAGCATTTCCCCTTTGCTCTAGTTATTTTCCTGGACTTAACTCCCAACCCCCTTCAGGTCGCCTCCTCCCCTTGAACACCTCCCTTTCCCCTCCTACAGATTCCTGTTCCGCCACTGGGGACACTGGATGGACTGGTCCCTGGTAGTCGTGCTGGTCATCTCTCTGCTGGTCACATATGCATCCCTGCTATTGGTTGGTTCAGGGATATCTGACCTAATTCCCGTCTAAGCCCTTCATTCCTGCTCAGGTCTATTGTCGTGTTCTCGTCCTAGCCACTGAAGGGGTGGCGATAATTCTGGGGTGGGAAGGAGATGCCAGTCTGCACATCCCCATTGGGTGAACTTGCCTTCTCCGGGCCCCTCCTCAGTGCCCCTACCCTCTGTCCCCAGCTCCTGGGCCTGCTCCTGCAGCTCTGAGGTCAGCCTCTGCATCTTCACAGTCTCCACAAGGTACAATGACGTGGCATTGAGGGAAAAGGGATGTCGAGTCCAACACCAATGGATGGCTATTTGCTTGAGGCTGTCACTTTTCGATCCCTGGGGTCCAGGCCAGGACCTGAAACCCAGCCCGTATTTATTTATTTTTTTTTTGAGTATCAAAATTTTATTTTAAATGCACACTTATCAATTGAACATATATATATATATGTGTGTGTGTGTGTGTGTGTGTGTGTGTGTGTGTGTCCAGCCCGTATTTACTGAGTGAAAGCAGAGCGGATGTGTTCAGGGAGGGGAAGAACCCTGTGTCAACGGCATAAGGAGGTAGCGTACTCAACCCTGAGCGAGGCTGACAGTGAAGCCCATTCGTTCTTCCTTTGCCCCAGGTGCTATTGCTCCTCATTATACTTCTGGTGGCCACTGGCCTGGTGGGACTGGATATCCAATGGCGGCAGGAGTGGCATAGTCTACGACTGTCACTGCAGGTGAGTGGCTGATCTCCACTGTCTAGGCGGAAGCCTTGGCCCGCGGCCTGGAACATTACATTGTCCTGGTCCGGTGAGATTGCAGGTCTCTCTGAACTCCAAAAGTTCGGCCCTAAGAGGGAGGCGGGGAGACAATAGGAGGGCGAGCCTTCCTCACCAGCTGTTATCCACAGGCCACAGCCCCATTCCTTCACATTGGAGCAGTTGCTGGAATCACCTTCCTGGCCTGGCCTGTGGCAGATACCTTCTACCGTATGCAACCAAGAGGTGCCAACTTCAGCCCGTACACACCCTCACTGGACACCAATGTCTCTTCCCACTGCTCATTCGGTTTCTTGTGCCTGAGCGTCTGCCCTCTGCCCCTAGAGTTCCCACTCATTTGCTGCCTTTCCCCAAAGCCTGTCCTCCACTTTCTATAGGCCCCAAGGTTCTACTACTGTTCCTATTTTTTGGAATCACTCTGGTCATCTACCTGGCCCCCCTATTCATCTCCTCCCCCTGCATCATGAAACTCGGAGACTTACCCCCCAAGCCTGGTCTGGTGGGACACCGAGGGGCTCCCATGGTGAGTGACAGGAAGAAGCCTGGGCAAGTAAAGGAGAATCTGCTAGGCTTCAGCAACTCGGCCTGTGGATTTGCAGACCCCCACCCTTCCCTACTACATCCTCCTGACTCCCTTTCCCAGCTGGCCCCCGAGAACACCCTGATGTCCTTAAGGAAAACAGCCGAATGTGGAGCTACTGTGTTTGAGACAGACGTGATGGTCAGGTGATGGAGGGTTGGGCCCAGGGGGGTTGGTGGGCTGAGGGACACTGTGAAGACACTCAGGAAAAGATGGCAGCTCCAGAGCTTGGATGCCTGACACTCCTTGTGCCCTCAGCTCTGATGGAGTCCCCTTTCTCATGCATGACGAGCGGCTGAGCAGGACTACCGATGTAGCCTCTGTGTTTCCAGAGCGAGTCTCAGCCCACAGCAGCGATTTCTCCTGGGCTGAACTGCAGAGACTCAACGCTGGAGCCTGGTTCTTAGAGGTGAGGGCGCCGGCTAAGAGGCCACCACCTCGGTGGCACTCAGGGCAGAGTTCATGCCAGCAGTATGTACTCGCTGCACCCTGTGCTGGTCAGTAAGAACAGTCTCTGCCCTCATGTCGCTCCCACGTGCTAAGAAGGAAAGAGAGCCGGAGCGAAAGACAATCAGAGTCGGAAATAGAGCAATAAAAATACTTCTCCTGGGCAGACGGGAGTGAGGTCCACTGTTTCGCAAAGCCAGAATGGGAAACTAGTTTCGCAGTGCTGGGATGGGCCTCGGAGCCTTGGCTAGACAAGCACTTAACCTGACGTCTGCTCCAAACCCTTGCTTGGGACATGGAGCTGCTAGTTTGAGGTAAGGGCATGGGGAATGACTGGAAACACAAGTAGGTTTCTAGAGAACAAAAAGTAGCTCAGTGGAACTGGCAGATTCGATTCATGGAGTGGTGGGAGGTAGGGGCTTGAGCTTGAAGAATTTTGAAGGTTGGGCCATTGAAGTGTTGACTTTAATCCTCGGCAGTGACAAATATTTAAAAGGATACTTTAATTTCACAGTACCTCTTTTCCTGATGGCAAAAGTAGTATTTATTCATTGTACCAAAAAAAAACCACAGAAAAATAATTTATGAATTGGAATCTCCCATAATCCAACCATTTAAAATATTCACTAATAATATGTATGTATATTTTTTTCAAAAAGATTAAGATCACAACACAGACTTTCAGTTTTCTTTTTCTTTTATAAATTTAAGTCTATATCTGATGGCATAGCAGAATAATTAAGAACCAAGAATGTCTATATTTTTGTTTGTTTGATTTTATTTTTGTTTTTCAAGACAGGGTTTCTCTCTATAGTTTTGGAGCCTGTCCTGGAACTAGCTCTTGTAGACCAGGTTGGTCTCGAACTCACAGAGATCCGCCTGCCTCTGCCTCCCCCCAGTGCTGGGATTAAAGGTGTGCGCCACCACCGCCCAGCTAGAATGTCTATATTTGAACTTTGGCTTTAGCCCTTACTAGCTATGGTGACTCTGGCCAATGATCCCTAGCCAATCTGTGCCTCAGTTTCCTCATTTGTATAACAGGAATAATAAAATTGTAGTACCTCCTTTCTAGGGTTCTCAGATTGTCAGTTCATACACAGAAAACACTCGGCACATAGCAAATACTCAGTGTTACCCAGGTTTACCTATGTCAGCACTTGAGATCTTTAGTTGATAGTAAGGGAAGGAAGGCAGGATGGCAGTAGCTTGGAACAACCCCTAGGAGGAATGGGAGAAAAGGCCAGTCAAGAGCAAGTAAAAGGTTCATCAAGCCACAGTGAGTGAAAACAGAAAATGCAATGCCGAGAGTCCCCATGCTGTCATCTACCTGAGACAGTGTGCAGCCCCCTGTCCTAAAGGTGGAGGAGGCAGACAGTTGGAAAACTGAATCAGAGTTTGGAGGGTGTACGAAAGGCAGAAAGGAGTCTCTTGAGAGCACTGTGCAAAGTAATTCATGCAACAAGAAAGGAACCGGAGGACCAGGAGGAAAGCAAAGGCTCAAGATCACAGAGATCTCTATGAGACTCAAGAGATGGTGTAGGGCTGGAGAGATGGCTCAGAGGTTAAGAGCATTGCCTGCTCTTCCAAAGGTCCTGAGTTCAATTCCCAGCAACCACATGGTGGCTCACAACCATCTGTAATGAGGTATGGTGCCCTCTCCTGGCCTGCAGGCATACACACAGACAGAATATTGTATACAAAATAAATAAATAAATAAATAAATAAATAATGTAGCAGGAAGAAAAGAAGTTAGAAACCTGGAGGGGTAGGAGGCTGAGCCATAGGGTAAGATTAGATGGGAGAAAGCAACAGTTTGGAGAAAGAGACCTTGGCTCAGAGGTGGGTAGAACCCGGGTAGCACACTTAGTAAGATTGAGGGGAGCGAGCTGGGTGTGGTAGCTCACATCTTTAATCCCAGACAGAACTTGGGAGGTAGAGGCAGCTCACTATGAGTTCAAAGCCAGCATGCTTTACATAGCTGCATAGCAAATTCCAGGCCACCAGGACTGCATAGTGAAAGCCCGTCTCAAAATGAACGAATGAACGAATGAACAAATAATGGCAAGTATCAGGAGAAAATTAGAGGCTTCCTGTGATGTTGAAATAATTCCCTTCTGTTATAGAGGCAACCCTTCTGGGGGGCGAGAGCGCTGTCAGGCTCTGATCAGAAGGAGGCTGAGAATCAGACAGTGCCAGCCTTAGAAGAACTGCTGAAGGAAGCAGCAGCCCTCAACCTCTCCGTCGTTTGACCTGCGCCGACCCCCGATCAACCACTCATACTATGACACGTTTGTGAATCAGACATTGGAGGCTGTGTTGAATGCAAGCGTGCCCCAAGCCATGGTGATGTTGTCCAGTGCTCCCAAAGTCCCCCTTTTGCCCCTCTTCCCACCTACCTTCCTTAAGCCATGATAATTCCGAGGCTGCCTCCTGCCCTCACCCTCCTACCCCAGGTCACATACCACATTCTGTGGCCAAAGGTCTCTGCACCTGTCCCTGGAATCCCTGGGACTTCCTCGGCTGCACACTCATCTCCCCTGAACCACAGGTCCTTTGGCTCCCGGATGAAGACCATGCTTCTGTGCAACAACGGGCTCCCAGCATGCGCCAGATATATGGACATCAGGGGGGCAACAGGACTGAGCAGCCCCAGTTTCTCAACCTCCCCTATCAAGACCTGCCAGTGTTGGATATCAAGTAAGTGCCAGAGGAGAGGAATAAAGGGAACCCCAAAGTTGAGTGTCAGGAAAGAACTGCTGCTGGGGGTAGCTACCCATCCATCCATTCCCACAATGGATACCTATCAGATGCTTGCTATATATCACGTAGCATTTATTGTAGGCCTAAAGAGATCATGGACAAGAAAGGTCCCAGCTTTCATGGAATTTGGGAACTACCAAAATATATAGACAAGAAAATCACATTTTTGTCGGGTAGTGATTGGGGTTGGGGGTAAGGAAGCAGGGAAGCCACGTTAGGATGCACTGAAAAGTGGGATGAGCTAACCGTGGGAAGCCCAGAAGAAGCAAGGAGAGAATAAAGAGCAAGAAAGGGGAAGAGGAAGCTGGAGAGAGAGACAGGGGCTAAACTGGATAGGGCTTTGGACATGAGAAAGGCATTAGTATTAATTCTACATCCCAGAGATCTGTATAAAGGAGGATGGATCCAGGGCAGAGTCTCAGCCGTGAGCTGGGCAAATTCTGGATGCTTCCTCGTTCCTTTCCCACTTGCACAGGGCACTCCACCAGAGTAATGTCTCGGTGAACCTGTTCGTAGTGAACAAGCCCTGGCTCTTCTCCCTGCTCTGGTGTGCAGGGGTAGACTCAGTCACCACCAACGACTGCCAGCTGCTGGGACAGATGCACCACCCCCTCTGGCTTATTGTAAGGGCTCTCACATTGTCACTGTTCTTCATCTCCCGTCTCTTGCCTTCCTTAAACCTGTCCCCTTCCATACTTATTTACCCCCATATGCTACTCCTGGGGACTCTGACCACTGATGGGCCTCTGCTAACCCCGTAGCCCCCTCAGATCTACTTAATGATATGGATCGTCACTGACTGTGCCTCCATTCTGCTGCTTTCGTGTATCTTCGTCCTCCGAGGGTGAGTGTTTTTGCTTTGGTCTCCTGGGTCACTGCTTCCCAGGGGCTCCAGGTAATAAAGCTAATTCTGACTCACATGCTGCCCAGGATTGGGATCTGGTCCAGTCCGGTTGATTTTTGAGCTTTCCTTATACCAGTAAATTGTCTTGGCCCCGGGCAAAGCAGTTTGGAGAACCCCTGTGTTCTGCTTCAAGTCAGTGGAACTCACAATAGAAAAACTTTCTCTCTCTAGGAGATGTGCCAGGAGAAAGAGAACAGGTAAGAATGCCCCTTTGCTTCTCATTGCCTCCTCCTCATTCCTGTTGGTGTCACCCCCTACATGAGCCACCTCTTCTCCCCTGCCCTAGGCTTAGAAGCAACAGTGCTGCTGACCAGGATCAACAATGTCACCTCGGAATGAATGCGGAACCTGTGCCCCCATCAGCTACAGACCAAGGGCTGCATGCAGCAGCCAGAGGGAAGGAAGGGAAGGAGCTCAAGTGGAACATCCAGGAATAAAATGTTTGGAGGAGGGGAGCATTCATAACAAGTTTTCAAACTAAGAGGGCCCTCTGTCCAAATGGTGGGCATGTCCCAAGCTGCCATGGAATTTGCTGCCTTTGACATTTTAACATGACTTAGTTGGAAAGACAGTGACAGGAAGTTACTCCCAAAATTAAACCAAGTGAGAGATAATGTCTTGGGCCTGCACGCACATGTGCTCAGGTAGAAGACGCCGGGTGTGTCAGGGTGGAATAGCCCACAATGGTGACTGGAGAACTTAAAAATGGTGAAGACAGTCCCCACTCCAGTCCCTTTTTCTCCTCACCCTCACAATTTAGCGTCTTTCCTGCCCACAGGTTGGGAGCTGGAAAGCTCATTTAGCAATACAGTTCTGTGCCTACGGTGCTTTTGGTTGTGAGCCGTGAATGGTCCCTGTATCTTGCCTGTTAATCTGTTATTCAATGAATTTTTAATTGTCATTCGGTCACAGTTTAATCATTTCAGTGCTGGTGCTGGACGGATGTGCATTCCATCAGGAACTGAATGTAAAAGGACATTGAGAGGTCATCATCATGGGGAGATGGGTGGGGGGCTAACACCTCCCGCCTCCCCAGCAGGCTGAAGAGTAGCAACTGTGGCCTCTGTCCGGGTGGCCCAGGAGCTTTGAGCAGGATTGCGTTGTAGCTCCACCTTGTGGTCATTGCCCCCCCCCCGCTCCCCCCTTAGAGGGCTGGATCCCTTGCCACAGTGACATGCTTGATGAATGCCACCAGTTTTCCTTGCGTGTTCGGGGACTTGTGCCCTTGACTTCAGACTGAGGGCAAGAACTGATTTCCACCTCCCCCCCTCCCCGCCGTCTCTGAGATACACACAGGGTCTGGTTCTAGATAGCCTTCCCCTTGAGGAGCAAATGCCTCAATATGTTGCTGCTTGTAAGGCTAGAAGCTGAGGCGGCCAGTGTCAAGCTGACCTGGCGATGGTGAGGCAGATAAAAGAGGATTGGAAAGCAAAGACAGAAGCTAGGACAAGAAGGGCTCTGTCAGGCTGACCCTGCAATCCTCCTTTACACTGTCATTCGTCCTGGTTTGCCCCTCCACTCAAAGGCTAGTCAAATTAAGGTTTTGGTCTGACAGGGAAAGGTCCTCGATTCATCCTTTCCTGTCAGATCAGAACCTGGAGCAGTACTAGCATCTCAGGCCAAGACCTCACCCCCGTCCATCCCCCCCATCCCCCCACCCCTGATTACCGGCAGTCATGGGAACTACAATTCCCGGTATGCCTCTGGGCACTTACTGCCTTCAGTGGAGGGAGGCGAGTTTGAATTTGCCATACCTCTCTCTGTCTCTCTGTGTTTCTGTCTCTGTCTCCCCCCCACCCACCCCCGCCTCCCAGCTCTCATAGTCCTCTACACCGACACACCTGGCCCAAGCAGGCATGGCATGGGGGACAGCAGGGTAGACCAGTGGGAAGGTCCATGGTGCCTTCAACTCAGCAGATCATACTGCCTTTCAAACTACATTCCCTTCCCTTTCCTTCCTCCCAGTCCCGCTCCTCAGTCTAGCCGACTACTGAGCTCAGCTCTTGGAGTCCCCCAGCCTGTCAGGTTGTCACCCTTGGGCATGTGTACTTGCTTTCCAACTTATACACTTTTTCTTTGCTCTTGTCTTTTGACCAGGCTCATTGCCCTGCAGCTACTTCCCTCCCCTCCCCTCCCCTCCTCTCCCCTCCCTTCTCTTCCCTCCTGACTCCATACCATCAACCTCCAGCCTTGCAGCTCTAACCTCCCAACTCCCCAGCTCTCAGCTGCAGTCCTCTAACCTCAGCGTCCAGATTCCCCGAGTGCCAGCATCAACTCAGACCGTGCTCCCAGCTCTTAGCTTCGCATACCGAGTTCTGAGTCCACCACTGTAAACTCTTCTTGCTGGGAGAACCAGACAGCTGTAGACACTGAACCTCTATGAGGCCCCGGGACTGGAGACTAAGACTGACCAAAATTTGAGGGCCGAAGGCCAGGGGGAGCTGTTCACTGAGTTTTGAGTGCAATCGCTCGTTATTTTTAGCTGCTGAGTCACAACTCCCGGCATCTGGGTTTGGGACTAGCAGGCTGGGTTAGGGGCTATTAATAGAGTGAAGGCACAGCCCCGACCCAGTTCAGTTTGGAAACATGGGGAGCAAGGAGCTTTGAGGCGCTCCAGTGGATAGAGGTAGTGACTGGGACAAACGCCCTCTGGCTGCAAGGTTCCTCAGCCTAGTATCACTCAAGGGGTAGCCTACAGGCACACTCCTGGGTAGAGCTCTCCCCATGCTTGCTATGAATCGGGGGCTCTACCACAACTAAGCTTCTGTTGTACTAGCTGAGAGGGCAGAGGAGAGCCCCTCAACAGAGAAGTTACTGTGGCAGGGCTTTGGCCGGCATGGGCCTACTCCTAGGTTAGACAAAATATTAGCTTACTAGACGGGAAAACTGAATTTCTGGTCCCCAGAGCCTCATGAAAGTAGGGGGCTTCAGCACGATCCTGGTAAAGGCGGCACAGAGCCAAGAAGCCTCCAAGTTCCGAGTCTACCACCCGACCATTCTTCGTATTTCCCGCCCTCTTTTGAGGCTCTGGTCTACTTTATGAACTCTCTCCTTCGTGTCTCCGCAAGGAAACCTACTTCAAAAAAAAAAAAAAGCACGGGGGGGGGGGGGCGAGGGGGACATGTCCCGCTGAGGTCTGAATAATCCTTTATGGTTCGTCATTCCTGTGGAGTCTTTATTTTAATGGGCTAAAGTAGGAGTTTCCTGAGGCACATGTTGAGAATGGTAGGCAAATCTTGATACTTTCGCTGGCCTAATCACCAAAATTATTCCCACCCACTCGCAATTTTCTACAATTCCCTTTGGTTAGGAACATCAATCTTCGTCCTCCACCCTTTACAAACCGGAAATCCCTGCTTTCAGCAACCTGCTCATCTGGCCCCTAGATGAAACCGTGTGTGGGCCAAGAGAGATTGTCTCTCCACCAGGATTGAGGTCACCTGCTAAAGCTCTATTTTCAAGAATGAGCTCAGATTATGAGACAGCGGTGAAGAGTGCCGCCCCATCCCAGCTTTATTTGCTGAGGGCGCTGGAGAGGCGGTGGAAGGAGAGAGAAATGGTCTCTGTGCTCACAAATCCCCCAACTGTTCAATCTCTGAGTCTGAGCGCAGGCTGCCTGGTCGCCTAGCAACCACAGCCGCCTGACTGTGTTTGGGGGCTGCGTCAGGCCAGTAGGGGGCGCCTGTCTCCCTGGGGCCCCTCGCAGAAGCATGAGCAGTTGGCAGATTTCCTTGTTAGTGTCAAAGCATCAGCCTCGCAGTGTTACTGACCTCCTCCCAGGCCTGTCAAGCCAGTCTGTTCTAAGTGTCAGAGTGCCTGTGGAGTAGGGAGAAACACCGAATCTAGATGGAGTTTACACAGATTCATTAAAAATACAGCAAAGGATGGGACTGGAGAGACGGTTCAGAAGCACTTAACCAGAGGACCCAAGTTTTGTTCCTAGCACCCACACTGGGTGGCTCACAACCCCCCCCCCACCCATGACTCCTGCTCTAGGGTATCTGACACCCTCTTCTGATCTCTGAGGCCAGCCACACATATATATTTGCATAAATACACAAAGATATACATAAATAACCCCCCACACCCTTTTAAGAGAGACTGGCAAAATAGCTCAAGGGAGTAAAGGCAGTTTCTGTCAAGTCTGACAACCCGAGTTCAATCCCTGGAACACATGTAGTAGGAGAGAACCAATTCCCAAAAGTTGGCCTCTGATCTAAAGGCACGCATATGTGAGCGCTCTCTCTCTCTCTCTCTCTCTCTCTCTCTCTCTCTCTCTCACACACACACACACACACACACACACACAAACACACACACACACATACATTCGAGGGGCTGGAGAGATGACTCAGTGGTTAAGAATACTTGTTGTTCTTGCAGAAGACCAAGGTTTGGTGCCCAGAATGGACGTGGTGGATCACACCCACCAAGTTCCAGAGCATCCAAGGCCTTCTTCTAAACTATATGGGCATCAGGTACTCACATGGGGCACATGTAGGCAAAACTGAATTTTTTTAAAAAAAAATTAAGAGTAAATGTCTTTGTCAGTGTTCCATTGCTGGGTTGAGACAGCGTGGCCTTGGCGACTCTTATAAAGGGAAGGATTTAATTGAGGCTTGCTTAGAGTTTCCATTGTCACTGTGGAGGAAAGTATGGGGCTGGATGGAGAAGGTGCTGAGAGGTGTACATCTGGATCCACGGGAAGCAGGACAAAAGTGACTCTGGGCTTGGCATGGCCTTCTGAAACCTTAAAGCCCATCCCCAGTGAAACACTTCCTCAAACAGGACCACACCTCTTAATCTTTTCAAATAGTGCCTCTCACTGGTGACTAAGCATTTAAATCTATGAGCCTGTGGAGACTATTCTTCTTCAAACCACCATTTGCAACTCCCCCATAGGACTGTATGATTGTAGCCACACCATACTGTGAAAAAATGCAGCCAGTCCAATTTTAGGAATCCCTATAATCTATTACAGTCTCAACACGGTTTAAAAGTCCAAAGTCCCTTCTGAAACTCAAGGCAATCCCTTAACTGTAACCCCTGTAAAATCAAACCCAAAAGCAGATCACATACTTCTAGCATACAATGGCACAGAATATACATTACCATTCCAAAATGGGGGAAAGGGAACACGGAGAGGAAATACTGGACCAGAGCAAGATTGAAATCCAGCTGGGCAAACTCCAAACTCTGATGTCAAGTGCTCCTCAGATTCTCCTTTCAGCTTTGTTGACTGCAGCACACTTCTCTCCTCTCTCTCTCTCTCTCTCTCTCTCTCTCTCTCTCTCTTTTCATGACAGGGTTTCTCTGTAGCTTTGTAGCCTGTCCTGGAACTAGCTCTTGTAGACCAGGCTGGCCTTGAACTCACAGAATTCAATCTGCCTTTGCGCTGGGATTAAAGGTGTGCACCACCACCAGCCAGCCACTTCTCTCTCTTACATTGGTTCCACTCCCAGTTAGCAATTTTCCTTGACAGGTATCCCATGACTCTGGCATTTCCAACATCTTGGGGTCTCCAAGGCAATCCAGACCTCATCTTCACACAACGACATGGCTGGGGCTTCATGCAGGAGCACCCCAAACACACACTTGACTTCAGGGTCTTTCTTTAATCATGGAGGGAGATT